GTGTGTGTGTGTGTGTGTGTGAAGGGAAGGTACTAGGCGGGGGAGGTGGGGAGGGGCAAGTGGTGATATAAGGGAAAGGCCAAAAAAGGAGTAAAAATTTCCTTTTCATTTTGATAACTAGTTGAACCAGATACCAAACTTTTTGTGTAAAAAAGATATAGTTTGCGACCAGAAAGTAGAAAACACACTTCCAGCAAATTTACAATATTAATTTTGTGCTGAGGGAGCAAATCGCAAATTCAAACCAGATCCAGAAATTATGACCTCAGCTTTCTCAAAGTTTGTACTGATTAGGCTTGTTACAGATTAACCAGAGGTAGAATGTATTAGGGGAAAAACATAGGAAAGAAAAATAGAATTCATACTTAAACTCAGAAAATGAAATTTCCTGTCCTAGAGTTTGCTGCTAATAAATAGACTCAAGCAGAAGAGTGTAGTATTATCTAAGGAAGAGTGAAGGAATGAGTATTAGGACCTGCCAAGGGGATTGCCAAGGCAGTCAGTTGCTTTGGGCTGGAAGGTCGTAAGGAATGCATAGTTTTGCAGGGCAATACAAGGATGATGGTAAATGGAGTAGAGCTGCTAGTTGTAGAATGGGCTAGACAACTATTTGAAAGTCAGTTAATCAATATTTATATATTGAGTATCAGCTATGTGCTCAACAGCTTAATAAGTGTTCAGGGGATACAATTACACATAAAGCAGACACTGGTGAGACAGAAAAAGATAAAAGAGATGTTCTGGAACTACACAGCTGTGGATAAAATGAAGGTTCCTGTGGCCAGGATTCTCACCTGGCCCTGGTTGGCTAGCTCACTACACATGTGTGGGCAATGCGTCCTTATTGACTCTATATAAAGAGCTCTACCCAGTGTTCTGGGTGACATGGTGGCATGGCTGCAAGGCTGTAGGAGAGCAGAGCAGAGTCTGGAGTGGTGGCAGCACCGAGGACAGAGGCCCAGAGGATGGCTGTGTGGGTAGAAAGGCCCAGAGCCAAAATGGACTTGCTGCATGCAGACTCGCTCTGAGTGAACGAGATTTTAGTGATTGACCTGCCACAGTGGAAATAAAGTTGGGTATAACCCTTTCACCCCAAGAACGTTGTACTGTCATTTCTTTGGTCACACTGAATACATAGTGAACTTGCCTGGGGCTGAAATCCATTGGCAAGACAATGATTAAGAAATCTTGAATGACTAACATTTGAGTTAAAAAAGAGTAAGGGCTGAATTCTACAACAGAGATTAGAAATAGAATTTCCTACCTGGACTCTTGGCAAAACAAATTCATTAAGTATCAGATATGCTGCGGATGTGATTGAAGGCTTTGTTTAGGCTTTGAACTTGGCAAAGAGTAGAGAGGAAGCATTTCTCAAGCCCTTCCTTTGCCTCCTGAAGAACTGAGGTACATGGTGTAAGGAAGAAAAGCCAGGGCAAGAGTACCTCTGGACAGACATCTGAAATGGATTGTACAGAATCATCCTGCTGGGAGTTGTAGGGTTTCTCACTGTTCCTGTCTATCCCCCTGAGTTGTAATTGCCAAAAGGAACAGATTATCACAATTCCAGCCTGTGCACTAACTCACTAATGCTCATTACTGACTTTAGTGAGTTCTAGTACCAATTTGTGATCTTGCAATCAGCTCAGGTTTACCACCAAAAAGAAAACACTCAAGTCTTGTTAGGCCAGCTCCACAGACTATGGATACATGATATGAAAATGAATTCAAGTGAATTCTTGTGGGCATTGTCAGGCCTCAAACTTCCTAACACCATTAAGAACAAAAATGGTAAATGTTGGATGTCCTGATGAGGGGGCTCAAGAACAAAACCTGTCTAGCAAACTACATTCAAGTATCCTTTTGTTCTCTCTTCAACTTTCACAGCTTCTGCTCTGCCTAAAAAGGAAAACTCACATCTTCGAACTGTTACAATAAAACTATTGGCAGCCTGTAAAGTGACAACAGAGGCTTGCCTTAATTTATTGCACCACGCAGATTTACTACACATCAGGGTAATAATAACAGCACTGTGACTGGCCGCCTGAAATCTCCTTCTCTGCCCCAGTAGAAGAGCGGTGGAGGGGGGCTTGGAGGCCCTGGAGCAAAGACTCTCTGTATGGTGCTAAGTGCGGCTGGGCACGCTCTTGGCTCAGTGCCACGAGATGACGTGCTCCTCCTGGGCTGTGCAGAGCCAAGATGTGATGCAGAGCTGGTGTGGAGATGTGTGTTTGGACAGAAAACACTGGAAGCTATTTGCCACGTCTGTGAGAGGAGTGGTTCCACGGTTGCTCATTGTCAGGCAAATAAGCATTCCCAGCTACCTTCTTTTCATACAATGAGAACACAGTTTGAGAAACAGAGGTGAGGGAGACCTCACAGAGCATTTTACCTGCTTTTAAGAAGCACCCTTAAAAGAAACTGGGCCTTCAAAGTTAAATCTGTTCATAGTATCTGAGGAACAATTGACACAATGCAGGGCTCAAGATAATCACCCGGCAGGCCAAGGGTCTCCTCAGGGTGCTAGCTTTGCTTCCAAGCTGCCTCTCTCCCTTCCTCATGGCCTCCACGTCCTGGGGTGCCTAATCAATCTTGGCTGCCTCCAGGGAGACTGTTCTGCTGCACTCAGGCACTCAGCTCTCCCATGGTGACAGTGACATCCTCACAGAGGACAGCATCCATCAGAGGTGCCCTCCCACAGCTTTGCTTCCTCTGGAAGCCTCTTATTAGGGTTTCTAATTTTTAAGATAATGGGAACTTAATGGGGATTATTTTGATTTTCTCTCACCAGCCAGCTTTTGTAGCTGAAGCCCTGCTGCCCCCAGCTGCGTTGCCTTGAGCCATCTGCATTCTGAGCAAGCGAAAGCTGTGACCTGGGGACTGCTGACATGACCTCTGAGACACAGGCCAATCCCATTGCCCAGTTTTTTTCTCTCTTTTTGCCACGAGTTTTGCCTATAAAAGCATTGGGTTTCTCGCCATCTTGGTGACCACTTTGTATCCTCCTTTTTTCCCCTACAACTTTTTAGAGAGAAACATCTTCAACAAATATTCAGTGGACTAATCAATTACTTCTAAGCATGTGGGAGGTGGGAGGCTCAGCCTCCAGTTGCTCCTCTCCTCTTTACCACATTTTGTAAAATTAATGATTTAGTCTGCCCATAATCCATTACCTACCTGGTTGTCATCTAAGACACAGATTTACCCTCTAAGCACAGTTCAAGACTGAAATGTTTGGAAAATCATGTATGATTACACCTCAGAGGAATCAAATGACCTCAGTAAATATTTTTTGAGACCATTAGGCCCTGGGGACCCAACAACACTGTCCCTGTCCTTTACCAAAGCTTTGGTTTCTTTCTCAAACAAAACAAAACAAAACACGATAGGCTGGTTTGGGGTGCCGCCTTTTTCTATTGGCTTTAGTTATAAGGACCACTCAGCAAATCCTGAATCTCGGAAATGACTTCAGTCCTGTGGTTTCTGGTTATTGGCAGGTAAAAATCCATGACAGTCTTCTCTCTGAGGTTCAATGGAATATTGAACTTCTACTTGAATTTCTGGCAGCCAGTCTTCATCTCAGCCCAAAACAATCTTAACAGTATGGGAATCAGAGAGTCGGACAAGTCTGACTGCTACAGAAATAGATGTAAACGTGGTCCTAGATATGTTCAGAGAGATGATAGGCCTGGATCCTTCAAAGCACATTGCTGATCCCTCCTGATAGAGGGCCCAAGACTGTTTTAACTAAATAATTGTTTTGAGGATGAATTTATAAGAGAGGGACTTCACCACCCAGGCATTGTTTGGGATGGTTGTCAATGAGCTAGCCCCAAACGAGGAAGAATGAAAAAGGCACTAAAAAGGCAGATAACAAAGCAAGATGGGAAGTGGGTAGAAACCTTAACATTGTAAACAAAACAAAAATCAAAACTATGTTAGGAGTGGGGACTCAATTTTGTTTATTTAGATGATGATTTTATTTTCACTTTGGTTTTGTTTTTAAGGGTATAAACTAAAGTGTGCACATCCTGGCCACTGGGGATTGAATTCAAGTAAAACTTGTATGTAACAGGGACCGCCAAGAAGAATGTGGATGAAAGCACGGCAGTGAAGGGGAACATGAGGAGGGGAGAATGAGGCAGAGGTGTTAGTCCTACAAGAAGCAGCCGCCTGACTTCAAAGGATGTCTGTGTCACTGAGGGTGCTTAGGAGCGCAGACAGCATGCAAAAACTTGGCTGGCCAGCCCCTGGTATTGACTGATAGGGCAGTTTCACTGTGGAGTGCTAGACACATGCTCGTTGGCTGCCTTCTTCAGTCTGTAGGTGCTGACTTTGCTGACAGAGTCTCCACCACAGCCACAGAGCCTCTTCCCACTTCCTCCTCTTCACGCTGCTCTTCTCAGCACAGAAGCCAAGGCCCACTCTAGCCTGCTTTGCATCTCTTACATCAGAGGTCAGGCATAGTGGATTGCAAATGAGCATTGCAATCTTTTCTTTTATGCTCTTGAAGTTTGAGTGGAAAGGCAAAGACTAACTTTCCTGGGAGCAAATAAATGTCTACATTTCCAAAATGAGTCTGAAATGAATCTCATTTGAAGACGTAACTGGAGGGAAAGACAACTTTTAGGGCAAAAGCTGAAGACAATCTCATAGACTCTCAATCTGACAGATTTTTTACTTATTTTTGTTAAAAAGAGAAGAAAAGAAAAAAAGAAGCTAGATCTCCTTAGTTGACCTGGAATTAAGAAAAATCTAAAAGATAGTCACTGTTTTTTAAAAATTGCAGTCCTGAGCAGTTCAACTGGGAGGAGTAGGTTTTGTATTCCAACACAACTGTTCATGCCTCAAACTGGAAGCGGGGAGGTGAAAGCATTTTACAAAGGAAAAAAATAAAATAATGATCTAAAATTGTTTACCTTGACAAAAATCAAAGTTCAATTTGCAAGCTGAAGGAACAGCCTGTCAAATCTTCATTGCATCCCAGCTAACACCCTGCAACTTCCCTCAGCTCTGCCTCATTTGGGCACCTTTCATCTCAGAATGCACAGTAAATACTAATTAATTTTCACAGCGTTTCAAAGTTGGTCAAGTCATTCACACGTAGAGTGATGACAGGTTGGGCAGTAGGTAGCAGTTTTCTTTTGTTATCATTACCCTCCCCACATGCTAGGAAATTGAGGCACGGAAGGCTTCAGGGTTCTGAACCAAACCAGTGGTGTTCCAGGAACCAAGCCTTGGGCACTTCTGTCATCTCTGGGAAGTCACTTTTTTGATTCAGTAGTGGTGCTTTCCAATGTCAGCACTTGTGTGTGTGTGTGTCAGCAGCTGAGATGACTCCTGTCCAAGGGGCCCCAGGTTCTTGGCCCCTGCTTCATCTCAGATAAGCTCTCTGGCAGTGGGGTTGTGCAGAGGTAAGGTGAAGCCTTGGTGACTTTGATGGTTGGGTGCTTGAATGGATCATAGCAGGGAAGGAGGGCTCTGTGCTTGTGAATTAATATAACTAGAGGGGATTGGATTGGAGCCTCAGTTTTGTCCTTAAAACTGATAAGAAGTTGGCAGGCTTTGTAGTACCTCCTCCCTTGATAACAAAACATCACAATGCCTTGGGCAAGCCTGACCCCCAGCCTCACTTGTCCTGCCCCCTTGGGTGTTGCACACATCCTGTACACTTTGGAAAGGGGCCATGTGAGAGAAGATTTTATTGAGGCCTTATTTGTTTCCACTGTCAATAGAGATCAACAGGACATTTATTCTTAGGTTGAGCCAGATGGTCTTTAGAATAACTGGATAATTTGATATCAACTGGACTTTGATAATTTTTTTACAGTGCTAGAAGAGAAAGATGAAGGGTTTCCATGAAGTAGGAAAGGTTACAACAGTGCGTATTGCCTCCCATCTTCATGATCTCTTGCCAAAGGAAAGTGGGAGAAAAATACAGTGACACATCATTCGATGGAGGTCCCCTTCCCACAGAGTGGTCCAGCTCTGTCTTTCAGCAGGAAAGGGGGAAAGAGGGAGTAGGCACTGATATTTATTGAGTGCCAAATGTATGCTGGTCACTTTATATAAATAACTTAATTCTCCCTCACAAGAACCTACTATATAGGCATCATTATTGATCCCATTTTTAAAGACCTAATCTCTTAGGCTCTTGAAGTTAGGAAGCATGAGGCCAGAATTGAAAACCCAGGGCTTCCTGACCACCTTCTTTCCATGAATATTGTTATCATGCTGAAGTGTCCATTTTAAATGAAGACTGACTTGACCCTGAGCACAGTCTACAGGAGGAAAAGGCAGTAGTCAGGTGCTGTCTTCTTACACAACATGCTTATCAGACTGTCTCCTTAACGATCAGGATGTCAAACTTGTTTCAAAACCCTGTTTGGCTAAAAGTCCTAAGTCATTGAATGAATACCTTTCTTTCCAGGGTATGGGGTGCAGGTGCTTGTAAGGGTGACCAGCCTGTGGAGGGAGATATTCTATGCCTTGTTTACTGAAAAACCCAATTAGAATTTACCCTTAATCACTTGTCAATACACATAGGGAAACCTTAACTAGAGGATCTTCAAAATCGTCCTCTTATCTTTGTCATAAAAATAATTACAGCTGAATTTATTGAGCACTTACTATGTGTCAGTAACTGTTCTTTAGGCTCTATATGAGTCTTTAACCTCCCCAACAATCCTATGAGGAAAGTACCATTATTTTCTGTTTTACAGATGGAAGTACAGAGGAAATGTACAGGGAAGTTAAGTAACTTGCCTAAAGTTACACAGGAAGGAAGTAGCAAAACTGGAATTTGAACTTCCAAACCTGGGCAACTATCAATTATACCTTCTGCTGTCCATCATCAAGGAAGATTACACATAGACAGGAAGGATCATTTCTGTACTTGGAGAAGAAGATTCTTCTTTTCTCATTTTCCATTTCCAGAGTGATACAAGCCTTCTGCCCCAGAAGGCACTGGTCCCGATGCCCACATACTGTTAGCCTGCTAGAGGAGCCTGCTCAGACTTCAATTCCTCAGTCCTTCATTGCACAGATTTGTTCCATTCTTTCCTTCTTCTCAGCTGGTCCGCAGCCTCTTCCTCTTGTGGTGGGAATGAGGGGCAATGGCAGGCTAGGATGGTCTTTCTCATCTGGACACTCAAAGCAATAGAAAGTGGCTGAAATTCACTCCCAAGACACAAAGGATCTCTACCTCACCATCCATCTACCATCATCTACCTCACCAGCAAGAGGCAGGGTGGGGTTAACGAATGTGTTTCTTGCATTGTCTAAATATATGTATGTGGACCTCAGTGGGGAGAGAACAGCCTTTCAAAGAAAGGTCTTGGGGATCCCCCTTCGCTGCTAGGGAGAGGGAATGAGCGAGAGGACAGGGGCCTCTGCTGTTGGTTGCAAGGCTGAAACTCACATCTGCTTACCCCTTCATATGTAAACCAGGATGGCAAGATTACTCACTTCACACTCAGATGTGTAAAGAGAACATAGTTTCTTCTTTCACTAAATCACTCTGATATCCCTTATGAGCCTGCACCTGCTGGGTAGCAAAAGGCAAAAAGCTCTAATTTTAGTTCAATATGTTTTAAAACTTAGTCATTCAATTATTTAAACTGTTTCCTTAGGTTTAACTCGCTGCCTGTGGGTTAAGGCTCAGCCTTTCAGATCCCTCCCTCCTCCTGCTTGCTTCTCTGCTGATGGTGCTCATGGTTCTGAGACTGCGCTCTCCCCCACCCGACTCTCTTCCCTCTTAAACGTGCTGCCCTAACAAGGGATTTCATGGGGAATGGGAAAGGGGCGCTCCTGCCCTTGACAATCTCTTAATTTATTTCATTCTCCCCTTCAGGCAGAGACCTGAAGAGGAGAAGATGGGAGAACACAAGGGGATTCTGGGCCTGCCAGGTAGCCATCTGTTCCATCTCCTAGCACTGGGCTGGAGGACGAGATCCACTAGCCTCTATCATAGGCAGAGGAATATT